GGGGGGGGAGCAATTAATGGAGGCGGTGTTGATTAGCGGCTTTATATTAATGGAGGAACCAATGACGTGGGCGTATTGATGGGCAGATTTGTGTAAGCTGGGGCTCAGCCCCCGTCCAGAGAGGGAGCTCACACCAAAGAGGTGAAATAGTAACTTTATGTAGATGGGGGAGCCAATTAGAAGGTGGCGTTGATTAGCAGCTTCCTATAGCTGGGAGAAGGGTATCACAAGTCGGTGGCTTCAGGTAGGTGGGGAACCAATCACGTGGAGCTGTTGTTAATTAGCTGGGGAGCTGATTATGGGGAGGCACCGCTGGGGTGAAGAGCCGCCTTGCTTTTCCCCAGACCGCAGCCAGTTGCCCTCAGTTTGGGCTCCCTGCAAAGCTTTTCTGCCTGCAGAGCTCCATCCACAGATGGCACTGCAGGCAGCCGTCGTTCCAGCACCCCTCTGCTGCAGGGGCTTCGCTGCTGTCCTCGTCTCTTGAAATTTTACCCTCGATGGGATTCATTTCTCCCTTCCCTGCAAGTTTTTGCGGCCCTCTCTGCGTGGAAAGGAAAAACTTGGAGGCCCTGCAGTGACAGATGTGCTGAGCGCATCGCAGTGTCCCCGTTACTGCGTCCCTGCAGAGGAGGGGAGAAGTTCTGCTTCACTCCCTTCCTGTTTGGAGCTCTGTGAGATGGGTGAAGCAGAACGGGCTCTTCTCCAGCCACCATCGCTCTCCTCGAGGCAGTGATGGTTCAGTCGCTGATAAAAGCAAAACAAAACAGATGGGAACCCATCGCTGAGGGCTCTCACATGGGAAAACGAGGCTTTGCTAACGAGTGGGGCCGCCCCTCTCCCCAATTGACCCCTTAGCAGCAGTTTGGTGGCTCGGCCTCTGGGTGGGGGAGCTGCGAGTCCTCGAGCGGAGGATAAAACCCCGCATCTGAAGCTGTGGGAGCCGCTCCTCCTCCTCTTCCTTCCGAAATAAAAGAGGAAAGGGTGAAATTTGTTACGGGGAGGCTTGGAACAGCGAAGGGCGTTTGTGTCAGCGCCCAGGAGGAGGTGGGTTTGTGTGGGGGGAGGAGCTCCGGCGCTGCCCAGGGATGGGGGATGGCTGCTGTTATGGAGGTGTGGGGTCCCCCGTGGGTCTGGAGTATTCTGAGCGCCCCACAAACCTGCGGTCCCCAAACCTGACAGATTCGGGTCCTCCACGCTTCCCCGCGTGGACGCTGGACTCCTCCATGCACCCCCACAGCTCCAGCGTCCTCCAAACCCCTCAGGTTTGGCTCCTCCAAACACCCCCACGCAGCTCCAAGCCCTCCAACCTCCACGTGCCCTGGGTCCTTTGGCAGCCGCCTCGTTAACGAGGAAACGAAGGCAGCTGACGGGCGGCCGGTAACGCAGTTGTGTCCCTCGTCCCTCTGCTCAGGGCTGTGCCTTCCCGGGGTGCCCAGCACGGAGCCTGCGGCCACCCAGCGCCGGGCATCGCATCGCAGCTCTGCGCTGCCCTGTGGGACGCTGCTGTGCGGCACCACCGCCAGCCCGACGGACGGCCAGCGGCAGCGACTCCTGTAGGTGGGGCGCGGGGGGCGGTTGGCTGTTTGTCACACGGCCGGGCGGCGCTGGGCGCTGTTTGCCCTCCCTGCTGGGGCCGGGCCGGGAGGTGTGGCTGCGCTGGGCTGCGGCGCCGCTTCCTTCGGTGCGATCCGTGCGCGGCAGCGCGGTTCTGAGCGCAGCTGGGGAGGCTTTGGGTGCTCGTCGTGTTGCGCTGGGGTGCAGCCGGGTTGTGCCGCTTCCACGGCAGCGCAGGACGGTGCTGTGCCCCACAGAAAGCCCACATCTGTGGGTCCGTGCCCCGTCTGCCCCTCGAACAGCACCGCGGCAGGAGCGCAGGGGCTGAGCTTTGGGTGCAGAGTGTTTTCATTTCCCGTTTGCACGTTGCTGTTCCTCTGTCCCACAGGAGCAGGAAAAGGAAAGGCTTGGTGTGCCTGGAGCAGCAGCGTGAGCTGCAGCCCCCGCGGTGCCCGCAGGGCATGGGCTCTTCATCCTGCAGCCTGCTGGAGGACAGCAGCGTGCCAGAGGAGTGCCTGGAGATCCCTGCCTCTGCTCCCGGAGATGGGCTGAGCGGCAGCGTGGCTCCCAGCCCCGCTCTCCTGCAGCCCACGGGGCTGGATGCTGACCCTGGCAGTGCTGGACTGCATTTCGCAGCGCTCAGAGCGCAGCAGGCAGCCGTCAGCTCCCACCCCTGGCTCAGCACCGCGCCGCTCTGTGCCCAAAGGAGCAGCTGCTGTTTCACACTCAAACCCAGCCCTGCTGGAAGGGAAGCCCCCCTCTCGCACTCCTTCCTCTCCGAATGCCCGGAATCTTTGCCTTTCCCTCTGCTGAGCCCAGGTGTGGAGGAGGTGCTGCCGGGCCGCCCCGAGGATGGCGTGCAGCCATGGCAGGGCGGCGTGGAGCAGCAGGCGGTGCTGAGTGGTGGTGGGCAGCCGAGAGCCGCCGGCACGGAGCCGGGGACGCGGAGCCTCCTGCAGGCGTTGGCCGCCTCCCAGCACGGCCCATCCCGCACACCGGCTCCCAAAGGGCCGAAGGATTCCTCTTCCTGCACCCGAGAGCGCGAGAGCGGCGCGGCGACGGATCGGCTGCAACACGAGGCTGCCTTCAGCAAGGGGGAGAAGAGCAGAGGCGGCGCTGCGGGTGCCGGCAGGTCGTGGCGCGTGCCTGCTGCGCGCAGGGAGAAGCTGCCGGGGCTGGCGGGCACGGCGTCCCCCAGCCAGGTGGCCATGGCCTCCTTCGCACCGCGCCGGCAGGGCGGGCTGCCCGTCCCGCACCGCATCCAGGTGTGTGGGAGCAGGGGGGAGCAGGGGCAGCGGTGGGGGCCCTCGTGGTGCGGGCTGCGCTGCCATCGCTGCCTCTCTGCTGTCGGTGCTCTGGGTGCCGGGGTGACTGCGGCCCGGTTGTGCGGCTGGGATGGGTTGGTGTTCGTTGTGCAGCTGGGATGGGTTGGTGTT